TATATTATTATATATATATATATATATATATATACACACATATATATTAAACATATGTAATCTAATTTTTTATTATTAATTTGTAATATATTTTTATATTAATTTTATATTAAAATTGTATGTAATATTTAAATAGATTATATTTTCAGGGAACATTGAAAGGTTTTGATCAGACTATTAACATAATATTAGATGAATCTCATGAGCGTGTATATAGCACAACACAAGGAGTGGAACAAGTAGTATTAGGTTTACATATTATTAGAGGTGATAATGTGTAAGTAATTTAACTTAATTAATTTTTAATATATTTGAAATATTAAATGCACAGCACATCTTTTTATACGTATATCATCAGTGACATTTAATGTGTTAATGTATTTAATGTGTTTTATTCTTTGTTATATTAATATTTTATTTTAGATTTGTTATTTAATTTAATATTTTATTTAATAAGATTAAACAAGATTTAATTTTATTTTTATTTTGATATTATAATAGACAACACAAATATTATTGAATAAAAAAATATGTAATTATTAATTTATATATAATTATTAATTTACATTTTTTACAATATATAATTCTTTCTTCTTTTAATCAAATTACAAAAATTGAATAAAATGATAATAAAAAATATGAAGGATTTTAATAATATTTTTTTTTTTAGAGCAATTGTAGGAGAATTGGATGACGAGATGGATGCACGTTTAGATCTATCAGCTATAAGAGCAGATCCTTTAAGTTCTATTGTACATTAATAGAAAATAATTACAGTTATAATTATTATTGTTTGAAAATAATAATATAACTAAACAATAATAATAATTAAATAAGAATTTGTAATAATGAATTATAGTCAAATGAAAGTACAATTTCTTACATGGGTTGTATATTGTATAAATATCATTTTTTATATCCATTTAAAATATTTTTGTTTTAAACAAAATGCAGTGGAAAAATATAACCATTGTTTATCACACTATGAAGAATAATAGAAAGATATTAGAATTAATAATTAAACTGTATAAAAAGATTTCACTATAAGATAGTAAATTATATTTTTTACAAATGTAACTTTCATTTATTAGTTTTCTAGGAATAATAAAAATAAATATCAGTAGATCAATAATTGAATAATAACTGAACAATTTTTTAAATATACTCTGTTTCTTAACATATTTTTTTTTAAGAGGAAATATTTCTTAATCTATGATTTAGCAGAGATGTATTTAATATTTAATATATGAAACGGTTTGTGGTTATGGTTGCACCATATACTGATAAATGTTATAGGATAAAAATATTACTAGTATTGTAAAACCTATATTATTATAAGATTCACATTTATTTAAATACATTTTTAATCTGCAGTTCCCTATAAAATTTCAAATGAAAGATTTTTGATATCTATCTATCTATTTTTTCTAAGTAAAAAAGTATGTATGTGTATGTGCGCGCGCGCGCATGTGTGTGTACATGTGCGCGCGCGCGCGTAATCATTATTACTTGAGAATTCTTATAAATATATTTCTTTATAAAATATTGCATATTTTCGAACTTTTTTTTTTTTACATATGTTATATACTATGTCATTTTATTGGTGTTTCGATTCATAATAATAAAGGCCTTAGGCCATTCAATAATTAATTAATTTATATTATTATAATACTATTTAAACATAATTGAATAAAACTTATATATAGAAGTCAAAACTATTATGTCACGTACACACATACACACGCGCGCGCGCGCGCGCGCGCACGCACACACACACACACATGTATGTATTTTTGTATATCTATACATGGAAGACATAAAAAGAGATGTAAATCAATCGATATAATTAAACAATTTTTCATTCATCATATTTTATATATATATTAAATGTCTTTTCAAATGGATGAAAATGATCAATATATACAGATACATATCTCCACTGAAAATTTCATTTGCTATTATTCATAATGTAATAGATAGTATATTTTATATATTTTTCATATATGTAGAATATGATTTATATTTTTTAAATAAAATATAGAATGTCACGTAATTATGAGCATTATTCATACCATTTATTGGTATGAATACTTCATATAAAGAAATACTTGAAATTAATTCATATACAATTTTAATATTTTTTTTAATACCTTAAATTTATATTTTGCTATTTAACCACTAGCGAGCATTTGACACCATGTACAATTGACACAATCAAAAAATCATTAATCTGGACCATTATAAATGAATGCATTATCATTAATGCATGCTGTACAAATTTAAATTACAATGAGAATTATTATCAGGTACTTTCCTAATGTACCTACACGAAATTGCTTATTGCCTTAATTATTAGTCACGATATTGGTCCTATTTCTATTTCGTCGTCTAATTCGTCCACCACGTCTATTTTGGTTCGATCCATTCCATTCAGGTCCATCCATTCCGAAATTTGGATTTGGACCATTTGGATTGAACCCCATCATACCAGAATCTGGAGGTACTGGTGTAGGACCGGGACCAAAATTATTAAAATTACTACCGGAATATGTTGGTGCACCATCATACGAAGAATTAACGTCTGGTCCAAAACCTACACCAGGTGCTGGGCCTAATAATCCAGCTCCATTATTGCGTTGAACATTAAAACGAGGATCAAAGTTCATTTGATTTTGAGGCACAACTGGTCCATTTATGGTTATTCCGGGAGGTATGTTAGATATTCCTGTCATACTCATTGGTGGTATGTTTTGAGGACCTATAGGTGCATTTATTATAGGTCCCATAGGACCCATATTTCCAAGCATTGGACTTGGACCCATTGGCATCATACCTTGTCCACCTTGCATACTTTGTGGTCCAGGCATGCCTTGAGGAATAGACATTCCACCAGGACCAATTCCTATGTTTGATATTTCTATTGGCGACTGTTGAACATTTTTCATTATGGAAGCATTTACATTTTGAGAAGATAGATTGGAAGCCTCGAGAGCTTTTCGACGTGGATCGGATCGAACTTGCGGAGGTGATTTTGGAGTATCCATTTTAACTGGAGGTGGAGACATGGGAGAATCAGCTAATTCAACTTTACCAATTCTAAAAATTTTACGTAATCGCGGATCATATTTCACCTGCGCATCATTCTTAGTAAGTTTAAGACCTGTATAATCGGGCCTTGGTATGTCAACAATGTATACTTTATACGTCATTGGAGGATGCGAAGAAATGCTTGCATCGATTTCTGTACAAGGTACATGTGACGGTGCTGGCTTAAATGGTAAGCTTAACATTTGTCGTAAATCAACATCAGATTTAGTAGATGTATCAGTGAATCCTGCTCCAACAACTCGAAGATCTGTATCTCCGAAACTAGTTTGAAATTGTTGTCTAAAATCCATATCTTTTCTTCGGAGATCTTGATCCGTTTTAGTTCGAAGATCCGTATCCATGTTAGTATCGACAGCAGTAATACCGGAACTATATATGCTTGTTTCTAATCTAAGATGCTTAGACTCCTTTTTATTATCTATTCCACTAGGACTATTTGATTTCTGTTCATCTCTACGTTGTCTAGGATCTCGAGACATACGGGGATCTCTGGAAATAGATATAGAACTTGTTCCAGGTGAAGAATGTGGACTCGATGTTTCATTTTCTGTTTTTGACAATTGATTGGAAGTATTAAAAGTAACATTTTTATGAATATTTGATTCCTCTACTGATATTCGATCTGGTGAAGATTTGACTTTTGAAGAATAGTCTTGTATATTAGTATTTTGTTGAGTAGATTTATTCGTTGTCGAACTATGTGCTTTTAATGATGATAATAATTTTGAAACCTCAGCACTAATATCAATTTTACTCAAATCTCCAAGTTTATCTACAATAGCTGCTGGTTGAGGTATGGTAGGTGCAGAAGATGTCGTTTGAAATTCTTCTTTAATCACAATATTTTGCGTTTTTTCTATAAATTCATTTTCTTCTTTTGATGTATCTTTATTAGAAAGTACTATCGTAAGATTTCCGCCTTCATCGTCATCATCGTCATCTTCATCATCTGAGTACCAATCTTCTAAAATTTGATCTGTATTTCTTGCAGAGCACTCATTTTCTATATTTTTAAAACTATCTTGAGCTGCTCGTTGTTGTTGTTGGATACGCATAAATAATTCCTGTGCTTTTTTTGGTAAATGAGCTGGTATTTCTTGTTCTTCTGTACATGGTGAAGAAATATCATGATGATTAATAGTTTCTTCATTTATGATATTCGTTTCTGTAACAATTTAATAATTTTTCATTTCTTTTGTGTATTTTTATTTTTAAGTGAAACCAATCTTACCTTCCTGATCTGTATTTTTATCTTTTTGTTTATCATCATCTTCAATTGGCATTTCTATAACAAGATCTGTTTCTTCATCTTGATCACTTTCTTCATCAAATTTAGATTTAGTAAGATTTGCTACTTCATCAGCTATACTAACAACAGGTGGTGGCTTCTTTACTTTTAATAATTGTCTTAAATCTATATCTTTCAAATTTTCATGTAATGATGGATCCTTTTTTTTCGCCTAAGAGCAAAACAAAACATTTTTAGAATACTGTAGAATAAAATTATTTAAAAAAATTTGTTATTATTTAATACCTGTTCTAAGATTTCATCCTCTTCTACATCTTTCGTAAAATCTTCTTTTGTTTTATTTAAAATTGTTTTATTTGATTCAACATTATTAGCTTCAGTATAAAAATCCATATTTGGCATAGATTGGGATATTAATGGTTTTTGATGTATATGTTGAGTTGCTAAACCTAATGCAGCATTAGGAAGTTGTATACCGAATTCATTGGCTGATTGTAATAACATGATTTGTTCATATGGAACTCTATCTTCATCTGAACCCCATCGAGTTTTCTTACCCGATGGTTTTCTTTCTCTAACATTTTTCTGCTGTGTTTGCTCTTCTATATAAAAAATTTTAATTTTAATATAAATAATATATAAAAAATAAATAAATATATTAATACCTTTTTCTTCCTTTTCATTGTTTTTTTCTGTAGTGCTAGTTGGTACTGATATATTTAGCTCAAAAAGACTTGGAATTTTTGGATTTGTTGTTTCTTGGCCTTGTGCTAATGTTCTTGCTGTATTATTTATCATTAACATTGCTCCTTCTCTACTTAAGCGTGGAAAATCTCCAAGAATTTCTTTTGGTGCTGTTTCTAAGTGTTTCAATAAAATTCCTTTCACCTAATTTATTTTAATAATAAATAGTATTTTATTTAATATAAATAAAATATTGCTTTTAAAACTAATTATAGAAAATTTAGAAAATTTTAAGATAGTAAATACCTGCTCATTTAAAGGTTGATGAGAAAATTTACAATTTTCTCCCTGATTACATTTTAAACCTGTGTGGAAAAATTTACATGGAAAATCGTGATGCATATAAAGACATTTATCTCTCTTTGCACAACAGTCCATGAGATAAAATTTGCATAATTCCATTTTTCTAGGTGGTAAAGCATTATGTGAAAAAGGACAATCATCTCCTCTATGACATTTTCCTTGCATATAATAAACACATATAGCATCTGGATCTTGATTGTGATCATTATTTTGATTTCTTCGTCCATTCCTATCATTTCTCATCTGTCCACGACTTTTACTTTTCCCGCCACGTTCATTTTTACCACCTCTTCGTCCTATATAATATAAATATTGTAACTATTATAAATTTATAATTAATATAAAAAGAAATTTAACAAATAAAAAAAAATATTAATATATTGGCAAATCTCCCCTACCTCCACCTCCTCTCGAACTGCTACGTTTGTTATCATTATCTCTATGTCGATTTACATTAGGCCTTTCATCATAATCTGAATTACTATCAAAATTTTCATGATCATTTGTATGTCTGGGAGAATTATTTTCTTGTGAGTCTTTCCTAACAGGTGAGGCACCCCTAACAAATAACATTTCATCCTCATCTTCATTAACATTTTCATCATCACTTATTTTTCTTCTCTGTAAAATATATATTTATAATAAATCTATATAAAAAATTATTTGAA